CATATACATATACATATACATATACATATACATATACATATACATATACATATATATATACATATACATTTATATATACATATACATATACATATACATATACATATACATATACATATACATATATATATACATATACATATACATATACATATACATATACATATACATATACATATACATATACATATACATATACATATACATATACATATACATATACATATACATAATCTTTTTCATATTCAACACATATATATATACACACATACACATATACACTAATGTATAGTTAAATATATATCATGATGATAGTTCAAGTGTATGTATGACGATGAGGCACTAGGTAATCGAGCTTGTTATTAACTCAACAGCGACTTTCGCTCCATTATTCATCTCAACAGAAGGGGCAAATCAAGTCGACTACGGGTATTCTGCGGCTGCTGGCGAACACACTTCTCTATGGGCAAGGCGACATTATCCGCCAGATCCGGATACTCGGTACGTGACTGTCAATGCCACGAATTATTGGGCTAATTTAACAGGCTGCATTGCGTGAGCCCTAAAATTCATACGTACCATAAGGTTCTGCGAAGGGACAGGTGCTGTATGTGGGAGTCTCTAACAATAGCCGCAGCGTTCTCGACCGCCGCATTTGGAAACATACATACCACCTCATGATCGAATATTGATGTGGGTGTGGCACGAATTAACCTTGACAAATAGTGCCCCATCGAAAAACAACTGATGCTCTCCCCCACGACTGTGGCATATTCATACAGTTCGACACCACACGCTCGATTGTTCATCGCACACACAACTCGACCTTGTTCAACGTTTCTCTTTTTCATCACTATAGCAGGGGAACCCACATACAGCCAGCTTATCCCATGAATATGCCCATATCGTTTACCACTCAAGCAACTTAATCTCGTTCAAATCTTCTGTTTTGCTTATAGGAGTGGAACCTACATACACCCAGACACCACTAGACGAGTATAGGTTTCTCGTAGATAACACCCATACACAACTGCGGGATGGGGTCAGGATTGCGCGTCTGTGTGAAGCGCTGTTTGGGTCAAATGATATCCTTCAGCAGTGCCAGTATCCTGCAGATACCGATGAAGAGGTATGCACTCGCCTGCCAGTCTATGTATAGTGTCTTCGTCTATTTTATATTTTGTGGTACTCACAGTGATATATATATGTGGGTGAGTTTGTCGTGTGCACGCTGTTTGGGGCCGATGGTACCCTTCAGCAGTGTCAGTGCCCTGCAGGTACTGATGAAGTGATTTACACTCGTCCATTGGTCTATGGAGTCCTCGAGTACTATTTTGCTTGCGCTACTCTGTCGTAATGAAAAGGGACAGTTTGTTGTGTATAGCGCAAATGGAGGCCAAAAATTTCTTGTATAGTCTTATAGCAGCACCGATGACGAAGTATACACTCGTTGAATGGTCTATAAAGTCCTTGTATAAAGCCGTGATTTTGCTCGTTATATATCGAGAGGGCGAATTTCGTTGTGTATAGCGTAGTTTAGCGCCAGTTCTATCTTATGGGCACTTGTACCTAGTCTAGTCCAGTGATATCTTATTACAGTGTCAATGCTCTATGTGCACGGAAAGAGAGGTACACACTCGCTATTAGTCCAAATGTATGTTAGACGTAGTCTAGCCCAGTGATATCTTATATCAGTGTTGTTACCTTATGGGCACCGAAGAAGTACACGCTCGCCAATAGTCTAGATTTGTTAGACTTATTTTAGCACTCCTTTAGATGTGCGGTTGTGTGAGCCGCTTGCACTAAGACTGGGGGTGTCGTTGAGGGGTTGGTCCCGATGGGCGTGCTATTCCACGTCTATATGGTGTGTCTATACGGGTTGACAAGCATGTATGCGTGCACGATTGTGCTAACAACAGTTACACTTGGGGCGAGGGATACATATTTGGTCCTGGTGACAAGACCTCACAATGTAGCTCACACTGTTTGTTTTCCACACTACAATTGTCGTCTCTTCTGAGCGGACTCACCCTGGTTTATAAATATCGGTACCAGGGTGACAGATACGTTACTTATTCAAGAGGTTCAGATGCGTTAAGGCGATACACGCGTCATATTCGTTGGTTGAAAGCCGAAAGTAGTTTCCGTATGTTTTCTTATTGATTGTCTGATTGCAACACGGTAGTTGCCACCTCTGAGTGAGTGGTACCTGAGAGAAATATCTCAGGGTTTCTGGTGCGAATTTGGTAGTTAACGATTCATCTGTTTATTTGTATATATTGGAGTACTTGCAGAATTGATTAGAATATGCGCAGTTGGTGATTCTGGTTAAACCACTTTTCCCGCAGCGCCAGTCGCGCACAGTATCTTAATGTTATTTGATGCAGGGCCAAGGTGTAGTGTCCTGCCAGCGTATATCAATCCATATGTGCACTGTTTGTGCATTTTGTGGTTAAATAGGTATACACACAATCACAAACTTTTACGTACACGCACATACACAGAGATACTGATCAGGCTCTTCTTTTTCTCTTATTCCTCAGAAATGCGAGAACGTGACTATAGCCCTTCAGGAGCTATGCAAACACATTCCTGGTTTGTTAAATCTGCCGAATTGCAGTGTCATCTCTGCTATGGATATAGTTATGGGGTAAGTCAGTACGTGCATACATACATATACATAGATTTTAATATATACAAACTGTATTTGTATCATGTATATGGTGGTTTTCCAAGTACATTAATTTTTCCAGACACTTTGTTTTTTTAATCTTTTCTGTCCTATATCAAATCTGTAGATAGTCTATTAAGTGAAACCACTAAATTTCGGCCTTTTGATGTTATGTGTATAGGACGTTTTATATCCAACGCCGACACACCACAGGTGCGCATGCACCTCACAACTGCACCATAAAATCTTATTGCAACATCTTCATCAGCTATTGTATAGTGCCATACAACAGTAGGCTCAGAACAATACACACGATTATTAGCACTCGCACCGAAATTGATGTCCAAATGTACGTGATGTATATATATATATATATATATATATATATATATATATATATATATATATATATATATATATATATAACTATATATATATATATATATAATATATATATATATATA